CATCCTCCACTTTCCAATCCCGAATGGAGTCGGAGAGGTCAGAGGAGACTAGGTAGCAGCAAGGGAGTGTTATGTCTCCTCCATGAAGACCAGAAAGCCACAGGAGGCGTTGTAAGTCGAGGTCCTTGACCCAAGGGATGATGCCACCGTAGAGAGAGAAAAACCAGTCGAGGAGCTCACCCCTATGGTCTTGGTTGAGGAGCACCCAGATAGAAGAGTACACATTGGCTCTTCCCTTTCTGAAGATCTGGTGGCCCACTAATAGACTTTTTGAGACGTAACATGGACGTCTTTGCATGGTCACATGCAGACCTTGAGCGCATCGACCCAAGAGTGGCCACACACCGTCTCAATGTCGACCCATGCCACAAGCCTGTTCATCAAAAACTAAGGGACGCCTCAACTAAAAGGGCCCAAGATATGGACAAGGAGTTGGGAAAACTAATAGATAATGGGGCCATCATGGAAGTAGCATATCCTGAATGGCTCTCCAACGTGGTAATAGTCACTAAAGCTAATGAAAAGTGGCGTCTCTGCATCAAATTCACAGAACTCAACAAGGCGTGCCCAAAAGACAACTACCCGCTGCCACTGATCGACCTCCTCATCGACGCCACCGCAGGGCATGAGTTGCTCACTTTTCTTGGATGCTTACTCTAGGTACAATCAAATTAGCATGTACCCCTTAACCAGGCAAAACAGCATTCATCACTCCGAGGGGAACCTACTGCTACAAGGTCATGCCCTTCAGACTAAAGAACGCAGGAGCAACCTACCAATGGTTGGTGAACAAGATATTTTAGTCTCAGATCGGGCAAACAATGGAGGTGTACATGGATGACATGCTGGTGAAAAGTCTCACAGCAGTAGACCACATTGTTCACCTCCAGGAAACTTTCAATGTCCTGAGGACCTATCACATGAAGCTAAATCCTGAGAAGTGCGCCTTTGGTATAGGGTCAGGAAAGTTCTTGGGCTTCATGGTCAATCAGAGGGGAATTGAGGCGAACCCCGTTACGATCAAGGCCATCCTCGACATGAAGTCCCCTTCCTCAAACAAAGAGCTCCAACGCCTCAATGGGAGGATCGCAACACTCAACAGGTTTGTCTCCAAGTCTGTAGACAAATGTCTCCAATTCTTCAAGATTCTCCGAAAGGCCCTTGAGTGGGAACCTGAGGCAAATGAGGCCTTCCAAAGGTGGAAAGCCTACTTGGCTACACCTCTCTTCCTGTCACATACCACACCAGGATAAGCTCTCCATCTATACCTTTTTGCTTCCTCATCAGCAGTACGCTTTGTGCTCGTCAGAAGTGATAATGGAGTGCAAAAGCCAATTTATTACGTGAGTAGGGCATAACGGGGGGCAGAGGTCAGATATTTGGGACTAGAAAAGCTAGCGCTCACCCTGGTCACAGCGGCAAGATGACTACGACATTACTTTTAGAGTCACAACGTAATTGTCATCACAGACCAACCTCTGAAAAGAGTCCTAGGGAAGCCGGACGTATCCGACAGACTTCTTAAGTGGGCAGTGGAACTCGGTGAGTTTGATATTCAGTACCAACAAAAAACAGCCTTCAAAGCACAAGCCCTGACGGATTTCATTGCCAAGCTCACACCAGCAGAAGAATGGAACTGTAAGGATTCCCAGATCGGGGACACTCAAAAGCCTAGCAGAGACTCTCAAGCATAAAAAATGGGTACCCAAATTAGTTCAGGCGCCCTAGGCTGCACCCCTAGGCACCCAGACAGCTCCTGGCACCCATGTTGTACCCCCAGGTGCCCAGACAACTCCTGGCGCCCAAGCAGCCCCTCCAAGCGCCTAGGCCCCCTCTGGTGCCCAGGTTGCTCCCTCTAACACCCAGACTGTTTCCTCTAACGTCCAGGCTATTCCCCCAAGCGCCCAGTCACCCACTTTGATCTCTAAACCCTCTTCTTTTCTTCTCTGGAAGCTATATGTAGATGGATCCTCGACTAGTGAAAGAGAAGGAGTAGGCCTAATCTTGATCAGCCCAGATAGCACCACTCTCAAGTATGAGGCGGAGTACGAAGCCCTCCTATTTGGTTTAAGATTGGCAGTAGAAATGGAAGCTCAACACCTCGCCATCTACAATGACTCTCAACTGATAGTTAATCAAGTGAAGGGCAAGTTCGAAGCCAAAGGAGCCAGGATGCAAGAATACCTTAGCATGGAGAGAAGCATGATCGCAAAGTTTCACTACTTCCAGATAAGCCACATCCCTAGAGAAGAAAACATGACCGTTGATGCACTCGCAAGGCTCGCCTCATTTGTGGAAACCCCATCAGGGGAACCAACATTCATTGGTCACCAGTTCGAGCCAAGCAAATTGGACATGAAGGCCACAAATGTCAACTATGCATCAGCTGAGTCAAACTAGATGACCCCAATAAGGGCATACCTCAAAAAAGGTGTTCTGTTAGATGATCCTCTAGAGGCCAAGAAGCTGAGGATAAAAGCCTCCAAGTTTGCCATCCTACAGGACACTTTATACAAGAAAGGCTATTCCTTGCCCTTGTTACAATGCATTTCACCCGAAGAAGCTCACTATGCCTTGCGAGAGATCCACGAGAGGATCTGTGGGAACCACTCTGGAGGGCGCTCCCTTGCCCATAAGGCGCTAAGACAAGGCTATTTTTGGCCTTCCATGGTAAGGGACACTCAGGAGTTCTCCAAGAAGTGTGACAAGTGTCAATGCTTCGCAACTGTGTCCAGGCAACCACCGGAAGAGCTAACAACCATTTCAAGTCCATGGCCTTTCTCCAAGTGGGGCATCAACATCCTAGGCTTATTGCCTCTTAGCAAAGGACAGTGCAAGTTCGTGATAGTGGTAGTCGATTATTTCACCAAGTGGACAGAGGCTAAACCCTTAGCTAAAATCACAGACGCAAAGGTCAAAGATTTTATCTAGAAAAGCTTGGTCTGTTGCTTTGGGATTCCCCATGCCATTGTCAGTGATAACGTCAAGCAGTTCGACAACAAGCTGCTGAACTCCTTCTGCTCCGACCTTCAGATAAAACAACCTCACTCCAGCCCAGCATACCCACAGGCAAATGGACAAGTAGAGGTCATGGTGAGAACGGTGCTATGTAACTTAAAGACAAGGCTTGAAAGAGCGAAGGGTCTTTGAATGGATGAACTACTAGGCGTATTGTGGGCCTATCGAACCACGCCAAGAACTCCTACTAGAGAGACGCCTTTCTCCCTTGCCTTTGGAACCGAGGCGATTATCCCTGTGGAGATAGGGGTACACTCTCTAAAGGTCCAGCACCACAATCTTATCACCAATGAGGAAGGACTCCGCATCAACCTCGACTTGATGGAGGAGGCAAGGGAAATGACCGTGGTCCGCAATGCAGAGTACAAATAACGCATGGCGAAGTACTACAATTCGAGGGTGAAGCCTCATTATTTCCAACCAGGGGACTTGGTCCTCAAGAAAGTAATCCTCGCCACAAAGGATGCATGCGAAGGGAAACTGTGACCAAATTAGGAAGGACCCTACCTCATAACAAAAGTAGTGAGGCCAGACACCTACAAGATCCAGAATTTTAAGGAGAAATTCTTACTCCATCCATGGAATGCGGAACACTTGAAGTGGTATTACCAATGACACCTTGAGAGTATCAAAGTAGTGGAAGTTGGGACTTGATTATATTTTTTGGGTCATTACCCAGTATTCAATGTATTTTTTTGGGAATTATTACCTAATATTGCTAGATTAATAAAATTTTCTACGATTTTACTCCAAAAAGATATTTTGCATTTCATTTCAAAGAAGTATCAATACAAAAGTGAGGCTATAAACCGCCTTTCTTAAAAAAAAAAATCAAAAGTCTCAAACACTCTAACTGCTCTCACGGTCGTCCTCCACCTCTTCCTCGTCATCCTCAATATCATTAGAGCCC